GTGGCCTCTAAAAATGACAAAATTGCGAAAATCTCTGAACTGGAAGCGACGTCATCAAGAAAAAAAAATTATTTCTAGATTTTTTGATGTTCTTTCAGACCTGAAAGTTTCATGAAAATCCATCGAGCCGTTTTTGAGAACTCGCGTGCACAAAATCGGTAAGAAACTAGAGACGTTTGTAAAATACTTATGCCCCCCTCCCCCAAAAGTGGATTTTTTCTATGTCCAAAACTCTGTCTAAAATGGTGCGATCCTACCCAAAACAGAACTTGACCTAGATATTCAGCTGAAAAATCTGTATACAGTTAATTCTCGATAAACTGCCACCTTTTGTAATTTAGAAATCATGGCGGTATAACGAATTTGGCGATGAATTGAATTTTCCATCTCTTAGGAAATAAGACATAGAGTTATTGTTCTTTGAAATACCATTTAGCGTTTCTATTCTTATCATTACATGCACATGTATATATAAACATATTTCTAAATTTGAAAATACTTCAATTAAGTAATTTTTTTAATGTACAATTTCGCTAAAACAAAATATTCAGTTATGAAATTAAGACAAGTACATGTGTATGCATGTAAATCTGCACGTCTGATATTGAAAAAAAAAACCATGCTGGGTCAATCGTCATGATATTTTGCCTACAGTACGTAAAATAAGTTCTTGAATAAATTCTTTGTTTATAATTCATTGTTGATGAAACGTTCACAATTTCTGACTTATGATTATTTTTTAAGCAAACTTTGCATTGTTTTTATAGGCAGAGATCATCAAAATAATATCATTATCGGCGTACTTTACAACGACCGCTTTCGTGGCAAAGCCATGACTAAATGGTTTAACAAACAGAAAACAAAATTATTTTAACAGTTCATGTTAAAATAATTGTTTACTTAATTGCTTGTACCTTGACTGGCTTTGCATGCTTTACAACAGGGATAGCATCAACCAATTAGCCGCGCTTCACTGACCACATGCACCTGTGGCGGTATTATCGAGATGATTGACACTTAAAAATGGACGTTTGTTGTGAAAACAGGGTGGCGGATGGCGGTATGCGAATTTGGCATTATAAAGAGAATTTTATATAGCAGGAAAAACGTTCTTGGGAAATCATGGCGGTATTGCGAAAATGGCGATGAATCGAATGGCGATAATTCGAGAATTGACTGTACTAAATTTCATTTCAATATGTGCAACCTTTGCAAAGAAAATGAACGGAAACTGTAAATAGGTGGAATTTTTCTAAGTCCAAGGGGCATAACTCTAACAAAAAGGGTGCGAACGTATCCAAAACAGAACTTGACCTAGATATTCAGCTGAAAAAAACTGTATACTAAATTTCATTTCAATATGTGCAACCTCTGCAAAGAAAATGAACAGAAACTGCAAATAAGTGGAATTTTTCCAAGTCCAAGGGGCATAACTCTGTCTAAAATGTTGTGATCATACCCAAAACAGAACTTGACCTAGATATTCAGCTGAAAAATCTGTATATTAAATTTCATTCCAATATGTGCAACCATTGCAAAAAAAATGAACGGAAACTGCAAATAAGTGGAATTTTTCTAAGTCCAAGGGGCATAATTCTAACAAAAAAGATGCGATAGTATCCAAAACAGAACTTGACCTAGATATTTAGCTGAAAAAACTGTATACTAAATTTCATTTCAATATGTGCAACCTCTGCAAAGAAAATGAACGGAAACTGCAAATAAGTGGAATTTTTCTAAGTCCAAGGGGCATAACTCTGTCAAAAATGGTGCAATTGTACCCAAAATAGAACTTGACCTAGATATTCACCTGATAAACTTGTATACCAAATTTCATTTCAGTATGTGCAATGGTTGTGACGAAAATGAATGGAAACTAAATGGACCGACAGACAGACCGACCGACAGACAACAGCAAAGCAATATGCCCTCCCTTCTTCGAAGGGGGGCATAAAAAATTAGAAGAAGAAAAATAGTGGAAAAGAAACCCAAGAAAAACTAGAAAACTGACCAGTCAGCAAGGGCCCCGCCATGGGGTAGAATTAAAAGGGTGCAGCTTACAGAATGATTAAAAAATGTACGAAAAATAAGCAACAGCAACTGTATTCTTAAAATTTCAAGATAATTCCTGAATATTCAAAAACCTGAAAATAATATCCTTGTATTTACATTAGGCAGTAAAGAACAACTTAACATTGAATATATATTTAAACAATTATGAAGCTTGTGTTATATAAAATGCCAGCCTTCAATGAATGCAAATATGACATGAAGGCTTGACCTTAACTTCAATCAAACAGCAGTTGCAGACAAAGGTTTTCATTAATCTTAAAGTGACAGATAAAGAAAAGCCTACTAAATTTTCTGCAGCAGGCTAGATAATCTCAAGGGATTAATTGTACCTCTCTCATCATTTTCTTCTAAAGTTACAATAAGAACTTTTTCAGTATTAATGATAGAAGGGTTTTTATACAACTACCTTAAAAATTAATAATATTCTTGAATTAACATAAAGTGAAAAAATTAATAATATTCTTGAATTAACATAAAGTGAAAAAAAGTAAATCAAAAACTCTTCTTTAATCTATTTCTTGTTTTTAGAATTCAATGAAATCATAACTATTAAAGTAATTCCACCCTCCTATGATGTCATAGGTTTTTGCAAAAACTGTAATTAGTTTAAATTCGTACCTAATAGAACAATATCTCTTGGAAGAATGCATTACAATAGGTGTAATGATAAATATTATTTAGTTAAAGAATTAAAAAAATGCATATTTTCTATATTTAATCAATTATTCAATCTTTAAAAGATGTTGACAAGGGCAATAACTCCTTCTAAGATCTCTTCATTTTAGCATTTGCTTTATTGTAAAATAGTTTCCCTGATATTCACAATTCAAAAGTATCTTTTAAGTAGGAAGTGTTTAGGAACACTCGGCATCAGAATTATGCATTTTAACCAGTTTTTACATATTTTTCATAATACTGTTTATAAAATGTGCGATTTTTTTATGTTGACATACACTTCTGTATATTTATGTTTCGCATCTTAAATAATATGGTGACCTATACATTTTTTGCAATAATTAGAAAGTTAAAGTATATTTAATGAAAATAAATGCAGTTTTTGTACTTTGAACCTATATAATTGTGAGGGTGGAATCACCTTAAACAAAAATAAATTATAAAAATTTATATTTAAATCCACATTTCAGAGTGTTCATAGCATTCCAAATTGACTTTACTTCAAAACAAACTTCATTTGCAGACAGAGGTGGTAATTCATCTCAATTTGACAGAAAAAGATAATGCTCTGGATTTTCTTCAGGAGGAAAGCTAATTAATCCCAAGGGACTCATAGCAGCATTCAGTTTACAATGGGAACATCTTCAGCAGTTATCTCTCTTTGCCAATGCATTCTTATATATAAAGTTAAGGATCCTACCCCACCACCCCAGCTCCAAACCAGGGGACATAGAGAACCAAACTTAGCATCAAAATATGTATTTCTGCCTACTGAACTACCATACCAAATTTCTACTTGATTGGTAGGGGTGTGCAATATTACCGGTATATCGGTATATTGCGGTATTATCCACCACGATAATATATCGCGATATGAAAATCAGATACCGGTATTTCACGATATTTATAAAAATATATAAAAACCTCCTTTATTGTAGAAACTGTTAAAATAAAACTGGAAACTTCTAAGTCTTTTTCTTTCTCGTTGAAAGAATTCTTCATCAGTTTCGTTCGGGAGAAAGAGAGAGAGGAGAGAGAGGGGGTGGAAGCTTTTAATTCACTGTTGCAGTTTTGAATATCTTACTTTGAAATAAAATTACTAATTAATAAGACTTTAAAATAAAATTTATAAGGAAGAAAATATATAAAACATTTTTACAGGGTGTATACCATATGCATTGCGGTTCTCAAAATCTCACATTGAATCTACACGATCGACATCGCGGTGAAATGTCAAGTTCAATATCAAGTACATGTACATATTATAAGTAAATGGTCATCCATGTTTTCACTTGTAACAGTGTTGTTTTAATTATTTTTAATAACTTTCATGCCATTTGAAACACCTTATGCTATAGCAGGAGCATGTATATATTAAAACAGGCCATTTCCTGATTGTTGATGTGAAATTAGGTCGGGTTAGACTAAATTACCAAAACGCAAGAAAACAGGTCACAATTTCTTTCTGGTTTTTTAAATTTTATTTTGTAACCACAATAAAATTATTTTCATATAGGCCTAATATGTATATTGTTTTAATCTTTAATAACATTTTATGCTACTTCATTAACACCCCCCCCCCCAAAAAAAAAGAATTCAATGAAAAAAGATTATATAATCTGTAAAAATTTTTATTTCAATGTGAAAATTCTCCAAGAGAGTTCATCTTGTTTTACTATTTTACATGGAATTTGATTAAAAGTAAAGTGTTAATTTGGTGTGCAATCAATGTCTTATCCCTCCTCCCGCTTTTAAACTTAAAGATAAAATCAAATAGTCTCTGAACTTGACAGCTTTTCAAACATTCTGCTCAAATTTATTAATGATAATTAATCTACAATATATTGCAATATTCAAAGTAAAATATCGCAATATATCGCAATATGGATTTCCTTCACAATACCCAACTCTATTGATTGGGCAACCATAAAAAAAGTTGCCCATTCATTCTTATGCATAGTTATGGCATCTACCCCACCACCCCAGCTCCAAACCAGAGGACATAGAGAGACAAACTTAGCATTAAAATATGTCTTTTTGCCTACTGAACTACCATACCAAATTTGAACTTAATTGGGCTACCATAAAAAAAGTTATTAGGAAAAAACAGAAAATTTGTGGACGGAAGAATGACAGACGGACAGACAGACAGAGTGATTACTATAGGGCACCCACAAATCCTTGCGGGGCCCTAACAATAAGGTCTTCTGCTGAAAACGGAAGATCTTAATTTAATTCCTGGTAATACACACCTGACATCTGGAATATCCACTTTAACATCAAGATCTGTGGGTGCCACAGCTCTCTTTTTCCTTCTTACTTTTGTGCAAGCATTAGATTGTACTCTTAGAGTTACGAAACACTCATTGACATTTACTTTCCTACAAAAATTAATAAAACGAGAGGCTAATGCAATAAGCCTCCGTATTATTCGAGCCCTAATGTTTGCCAATGCTGCACTTAAAGCATCTGGAACGTTACAATCCAAATCCATTCTGTATGTGAGAGAGAATATAAATGTCTGCTGCCTTACAACTGGAGCTGCAGTTGTTACAGTGACTGAAAAAAAACAACATTGTAATCAATCATCATTCCTTGAATTTAAAGAAATTTGGGGAGTCTAATTTATACAAACTAAATGCATGGAGTCCTACAGTGCAATTCAAAAATTTGCAAAGTTTGTACAAATTTTTTCCATTAGAGTGCTGAGTTAGGGATCTTCCACATCTTCAATATATATGTTCTACTATTACTGAGCAACACTTTAAACCCAGATACCCAACATTAAACAAGAGGCCCATTGGTCACAAATGCTGATCTTTGAACATTTTTTGAACGGATTAATGACTTCAAATTGTAACCTTGATAAAAATTGTTCCACCCCATCAGTGTTCTAAGTTTGATGTCTGCAAATCAAGCAAAGATTCTCAAAACACAGAGCAGACAATATCTTCTTATATCCAGAGTAGTTTGACTATATTGACCTTATGATCTAATTTTTAATAATTAAGGGTGATCACAGACTGCCCCTTTTGGGGTACAAGTGCACCAATTAAGTTTGAAGTCTGTAGAGCAAAAGGTTCTCTAATATCTTGAGCAGACAATATCTTTTTGTGCTTAGAATATTTTGACACTTGATCTTTGACTGCGCATCATCAAAGTCAACAGAATCATCCCTTTCTCTAGGGATAGCAGTGTATCAAGTTTTCATGTTTGTCATGGAAAAGGACCTCCAAATATGGAGTGGACATAACTTGACCAAAATACACACAGAAGCAAACAACATGCTCCCTTCTTTTAAAAGGGTACATAAATTTTTTTAAATGCAATTCATAAAAATCTTAGATCTTACAATTACGGTAACTCACATGCAAAACTTAAAGTACATTAATGCAAGGTAAAATATCTTGGAATGAAGTATGTCTTTAATCTGTTGGTTGCAATACTTTCTACATAATATGCATGAACTGAAAAGTGTTGCATTACCTGGTTGCCTGTAACACACTGAAGATTTGGATCCATATGTGATAAACCCTGAAGGACATTTGATGCAATATTGCGAGATGGATCTGTTGGTGTAGAAGTCTTTTGGACACTCCAAACAATTCCCAGAAGTTCTATCATACTCTGTGCCATTCTCACACAATACTGTTTAAAAGTGACAAGTTACAAGTAGATTGATCTGTTCACCTGCTATTGCAAATAACAACACATACAGGAATTAAAATACATTTGCAAAACCAAGGGTCTTTAACAAGACTTTCATTGGTTTTTCTTATCTAATCTATATTCAAATTTTGGGAAATACAGTCTTGATTATGAGAATACTGCTGTAAATAAAAGCAATATATTGGTCACATTGCAAATAATCTTCAGAAAAATTTGATGCTCTCTAGTAACACATGAATCTTCTACAAGTAAATTGGCAACTTTTCTTTTGTCCCTACGACATCCAAATCATATTATAGTTATTTACATGACCTACAATCAATTTCTATGGAAGCCAATTTAGGACCTATCAAAAAATATTTTGAATTCAATATATATAATTGTCGAATTTGTAAAAACGAATTTAATTCGTTATAACGAAAAAAAAAAATAGAATTTGTCAAAATGACTTCAACAAATTTGTTATAACAGATGAAATTCATTATAACAAATTAAGTACGGGTCTCTGTAAGAATCAGGCAATATATGTATAAAAGTGAATCATGAGGGTTCTCAGAATTTGATGATTTTTCAAACATAGGTTTCTCTTGCACTATTAACCACGTATGTAAAATGAAAATAATTTTGGGTCTTGGTTACTATGGAAACATGACCAAAGAAATTTTCCCTAGCAACCAGTCAATTTTCAATGTGCATGGACAAAAATATCACTAAACTTAGAGGCTTGTAATTGAATGTGAATACTACCAGAGGGGTTCATATATGATGTTATCACAAAGAAACATTTCAAGTGATAAAACCTTGGGGGCATTCACTCACATCAATACTTAGTACCCACTACTACTTGATGTTCTTTCATTTTGGCCTGTTTTCCCCCATTTCAGAAAATTTTTTTCTGCATTATATAATTAATTATAGCTACCCGATGGTGTCAACCCGGGTCCTTTCATGTAAACCGGATGGTGTCAACCCAGGTATCTCGAAATTATCCCAAGTATCTCAAAATATAACCTGACGGTGTCAACCCAGGTTCCATTCATTAGAACCCGATGGTGTCAACCCGGGTACCCTCATACACAACCTGATGGTGTCAACCCAGGTTTCTATGGTTACAGTTTTAGCTATAAATTCCTGACGGTGTGAACCCAGGAAGTTCTTTTTATTTTTTCTATATGTGAGTAGCCCCCGAGAAGGCCAAAATTTATTGTGTAAATGAAATGTATGATAGAGTTGTTTTGTTTTCCTTATGTTTTGATTTGTGTTCAATAAATGTGGAAATTTCAATTGCTCTTATTATATGTATAAATCAAGTGATAAAACCATGTAATACATTAAATTTTTATTTTCAGATATATCTTTTAGGGGCGATGGAAGATATGCACGTTTTGCCTTTTTTTGCTGATTCAGCATCTTCGTTAATTTGGGCAATTTTCAAGGCCATATATCTTAAAATTCTGAGAACCCTCATGATTCACCTTTTGCCTGATTCTTACAGAACCTGTACTTAAAAGAAATTGTTGTAACGAATTAAATTTGTTATAACAAATTCGGCAATTCGATATATCAAATTCAAAAATATTTTTGATAGGTCCTAATGGGCTTCCGTAAATTTCAAACAGGTAGTAAAATACTTCTCCTGGGCTAAAAGTTTATCAATAAAAAAATTACATCAACATGCAGCTGGATCATTAATTTCCAAAATAAACAACTAAAGAAATCATTTTGTAACATTTCATAATTATTTCTTTCCAAATCATTACTATGATAATTGGCAATACAAAATCAACCCACTTTTCAATGCCTTAAGCTGGATTTGACCCAAAAACAATATTGACAGACTAAATTTGCCATATATGAAAGTCATTTATGCAAGGCAGACTCTATGACACTGTTATGATAATACCTGTTATGAGCCTTAAATTTTCTTAGAAAACAACTTTCTTTGAATGCTACTAAAAAAGTTAACAACATGCTAATCTTGTTTATTTACCAATACAGTGGCTCTCTGAAGTTGCTCCGGATGTTTCTGTTGTGTTTTTATTTGAAGGACAATTTTTACAGGAAGTCTGGGATTGCTGATCCTGGAATGTTCCAACTGGACACTCTTTACATCCGGCTCCAGATGACCGATAGGTTCCCGGCGAACAGTCAGCTGTAAAACACTCTCATTATAATCATTCAAAGATATTAATTTTGTTTTATAAATTAATTCCTTCATGTAAAAAAATTTACTTTAGTCTATTATATCAGGGGTTGTTGAAGTATTTACTACTTTTTAAGAAATATCATCTACTCAATTGGTGATATCACCTATTCAGCTTTTGAATTAGTGATATTAAAAAAAATAGTGAAATCTTTACAAATAGGTGATTATTACCCCTTTGAACTTGTGATATCACATATTTGATTTGAGATGGTGATTTCATCTTTGCAAAATAACAGATATGACCTATCCAAATGAAGCAAGAGATATGATATCACCTTTTCAAATAGGTGATATCAATCTATCTGAATGGGTTATATTATAAATGCACTTGGTAATATCACTTATTTGAATATTTAGCTATTAGGAGAAATCATCTATTCAAACTACTGTGTGTGAAATCACATATTTTTGTTGGATCAAATTATCAGGTTTGAGGAAAATATATTGGTTTCCGGTGATTCAACTTCTTGGTTGGAGAAGTGATGAGTAGTTATGCATATATGAAATTTAAAATATTATGATGAATAGCCACAGTGGTCTCTAAATACTTTGAATAAAAAAAAAATTACATCAGGAAGCAATGAAAAAAAGTATTTATGTGTAAAAGACAACAAATCAAAAGAATCCTAGGGATGATACATACAACAGTGGAGGGGAATAAGTGATACATTTGTAACTGCTATGCAAGTTCCCAAAAAGGGAAAATTTGCTATGAGGTCCATTGTAAGGTTGATTGATTGATTGTATACTTTTTAACGTCCCTCTCCAGAATATTTCACTCATATGGAGACGTCACCATTGCCGGTGAAGGGCTGCAAATTTAGGCCTATGCTCGGCACTTACGGCCTTTGAGCAGGGAGGGATCTTTATCGTGCCACACCTGCTGTGACACGGGGCCTCGGTTTTTACGGTCTCATCCGAAGGACCGCCCCATTTAGTCGCCTTATATGACAAGCAAGGGGGTACTGAGGACCTATTCTAACCCAGATCCCCACGGGGATCCATTGTAAGATGTTAAGTTCAATTTATACTTACTTATATTGCATGCTCCACTAGAGATAGAGCCTGTGATTAGTGTCGTATTACCGTTAGGGCACTTGGTACAGGACTCACTGTTGCCAACGGATGACTTGTAATATCCCAGGTCACACTTCTTGCAAGTTTTACTCACAGAATTAAATTCCTCTCCTTTTTGGCAAATGGCTAAAACAAAACAGGATGTATGTACATTACAATTTTCAGCCTCATGATTGCTTAGTCAAGACATTTGCAACATCAAAGCCTTCACCACTGCATTATAAAAACATAGCTAATATGTACTATCATATCCCAATCTAATTAAATCATGCAAAAGTCAATTTATCAACCCCTTGGTAAATATTGTTGCCCTTCGGTTGCACCCTTGATGGACAGTTTTTACCTTGAGGCTGCATAACAAATGACTTGCCCTTGTACGATTCAATTAATGTATAATACAGGGAATTAAAAAAAAAAAAAAAAAAGAGAGAAAATGTAATAAACAGAAAATTTTATGTGTTTTATATTTACTATATTCAAGTTTTCTGCTTCTTCAATGAACTTCCAACAATGTAACTTTTGTTTTCTAAGGAAAAGTATTGAATCAAGAAGCATAACTTTATATTACGAGGCTTATACAGGATAGTACATACGGACACAGTCTGTCTGAATTATAGTCCCCTCTTGTTCTGTGGTCTGCATTGCTGGACACTGTAAACAGTCACTCTGTCCTCTGGCTGGCTGGTAGTATCCAACAGGACACTTCATACAGGTGTTATTACTACTGATTCTTTTTTCTCCTGCCTCACATACAACTGCAAAAAGATCGTGAACAATCTATCTCTGTCAGTGTTTATTCAAACTATTTCAATTAGTCATGTAGATCTTTTATGATTACAAGCAAATTGTACAAAAACGAGACACATTTAACAAGAGATGTTTGTAAAACACATGCCCCCTCACCCAAATAATTGGAATTGTTTTAAAGTCTAAGGGGCATAACTATGTCCAAAATGGCCCGATCACACCAAAAACAAAACTTAATTTAGATATTTTTAGGATAAATCTGCATACTTGCCAACTCACCCGATTTCGTCGGGTCACACCCGATTTTTCAACCTGTAACCCAATTATTTTTTATGACCCGGCAGGTCATGCTTATCACCCGATTTTTGCTGAACAACCTGAAAATCTCCCGATTTCTGGATTTGGTTCGTAAATTAGGTTGCACTTTTAATTTCCAGTTACAACCCAAGCTTAGATCTACGTAAACAATGACGATGGATTAATTATCACTGCAGGTGTAAACAATTAACTGAGTGTTGTTTTGACAAATCAATGTTTGAAGTCAATTAAAATGGTTTCTGATAGAACTAGATCGTTATCAGGGCCAACAGGAACAAATTGAACCAAACACATGTCTCTGATTGAACCAAGAAAAAGAGAAACAATATTTAGGCCATATAAAATTAATCTTAAGATTCTCATCCCCGCCCGCCCCTCTCAAAATGTCCCGCCCCTATGTTTTTTATTTTGATTTTTGGGTATTTTCATGTATTTTTATTTAGTAAGAATTTGGGTCAAAGTTTAAGAGTTATCTCCCGTCTGTATTAAAAGTTGCGTGTCGCTATTTATAGCAAAAACGCCATGTGAAGAATGGAGAAAAATCGGCAATAAAAGCAGTTTAAATGTGTAAGGAAAAGATAATTTGTCAGTATAGAGAAGGCAGAGAAGAAAAAATAGCATAAACACATATAGATACCATCACTGGCAGGAGCAAGTATGTAGAGAGATTGTAACTAAGTAAAAATAGACGAGGAAAGTCAAGTTATATATAACGATCTCCAGCTGTGTGACTTAGCTTTGAAATAAAAAAAAATCTTCAACATCGTAGACAGACTTAAGAGAAGGCCTAGATTTTTCAGTAGAATAATTATTAGAACATTTATACTGGTGTCTCATAATATCGCGGTACTTAATTCTTTTTGCATAAAAAGTGTTATTTCAAATTTTTAATTTAACTTATATTAAATGATATTTATAATTCTAACTATGGCCCAACTTTTTAGTGCAAAATTATTTTCTAATCTTGCGTCGTTTAATTCGAGGTCTATTTTTAAAACAGGCAGTCTTATTTATCTTCTAAATTGGGGAGTCCCATTGTATCGCGGCATGGGTAAACACGGAAACTTGTAGATGACATGGACCTCAATTTTTATTTTTGAATTTAGAATGTAATTCTACATGAAAAAATAAACAATTGTACAAATTTAAGACTTTTAAAGGCTGAACTTTCTTATATTTTTTACTAGGTTATAAATTTAATGGTCTAAATATAATAACCAGAAGTCTCTGTCGAGACTGAAGCTCTACTGGTTTGTACTTAAAAAGTACTTAAGCTGTTGGAAATTGAAACCTTACAACAGCAATAAATAGAAATAATGATCCTTGATTAAGTCTCCTTATGTTCTTAGTGTAGTCTACTTGCATGTCACATTATATTATAATCATACTAAAACTGTATTTGGAGGAGCATTTTGAGAGTAATTAACAGAAATTTCTATTCTTAGTAACTAAGGCAATAATGTTCATGGAAGTCAAAAACTGATACAGAGAATTATGTATTATAGTGTAGTTTACTTTTGTGCCAAGTATTATTGAAATCAGACCAAAACTGTAGGAGACGTAGCATTTTGAAAGAATTTCACAGAAATTTCTATTTTTAGCAACCACGGCAACACCATTCATTGAAATCAAAAAACCGATACAGAGAATGATGTATCTTAGTGTAGTCTACTTGTGTGCCAAGTTATAAAGAAATCAGACCAAAACTGTAGGAGGAGTAGCATTTTGAAAGTATTTCACAGAATTTTCTATTTTTAGTAACAACAACAACACCGCTCATCGAAATCTAAAACCGATACACAGAATTATGTATCTTAGTGTAGTCTACTTGTGTGCCAAGTTATATTGAAATCAGACCAAAACTGTAGGATGAGTAGCATTTTGAAAGAATTTCACAGAAATTTCTATTTTTAGTAACCACGGCAACACCGCATATCGAAATCAAAAACCAATACACAGAATTATGTATCTCAGTGTAGTCTACTTGGGTGCCAAGTTATATTGAAATCAGATCAAAACTGTAGGAGGAGTAGCATTTTCAAAAATTGTTTACAGACAGACAGACGGACGGACGACGGATGCATTACTATCGCATAAGCTCTTCTGGTCTCTGACCAGTAGAGCTAAAAACGGGAGTGGAAATCTGTAAAATTACGTTTTATTTGAATATTTTTTTCAAACAGCTGTTCCATGCTTCTCAATCATCAAAAAAGTAAACATTCAGATGTAACATACAGATTGTCAATCAACAAAAGGAATATAAGCTATGTATCAAATTTTTTGCTATATACTGCGATACAATGAAACCCGCGATATAATGAGAATCGAGTATATATAGATTTTGCAAAATAAGAAGTCACGCATACACAATTTATTGGTATCCCCACCTCATTTTGTTCAGGATGTGCCGTTTAATGTGTACTTGATAATTTGTTAATTAACAATAAATATTTAACTTTTAAAGAAAAAAATTTCTTTAAATATTTAAAAAAATATGAAAAGAATTAAATCTATTCATATTTGCATTAAGGTAATGAAAAAAAATGTGTAAGGGGCGTCCATTGTTTTGTTGATACTTAGGCCTATATATAAATTAACAATTATAAAAAATAAAATCCGCCCACCCGCCCCAATTTTTTTTGCAAATTAGGATGAGAATCTAAAGATTAATTTTACCTGGCCTTATGTACATATCAAGGAATCTTGAGAAAAAACTTTCATTCTAGATAAAATAAAGTGATCGAAGACAGTGTAGGCCTTACTTCACATTTAAAACATATTGCAGTAGTTAATTAATTAAGAGAGAGGAAAAATAACTTCAAAACTGAAATTGGTATACTTTCAAATTCAGCAGAAACTGAAAAGGTTTTTTTTTTTTTTTTTTTAAAAATGCACACTGAAATATGAAACCTTCAATTCTCATTTTTAACATGTAAATCAATAAATCAAATTATGTATGAACTTTTTGTCATAGTAAATTAAATCCTTTTTCAATAAAAAAAATTCCCAATACACAAAATCTTTGTATATATATGTATAAAATTTAATCATGGTAAATATGTCATGAATGTTGTTACGCGTTATGACCAGATTTTTTACTTTCCAAATCTGGTCATGTCCAGATTTTTACATGCTGGAGGTTGGCAAGTATGTAATTCTGTATACCAAATTTTATTTCAATATGTGCAACCGGCGCTGTGAAGAATATGAACGGAAACTTGGTAGACCTACAGACAGACAGCAGCAAAGCAATATGCCCTCCCATATGCCCTCCCTTCTTTGATAGAATATGAAGGGAAAAGATTGTTGCAATTTTTAAATGTCATATTGTGACACAAGCATCACAATTCTATGATATATTTACATCCACTGAAAATTATTTCCTTTATTTCTTATGAAGATGATTGCCATTAAGCCAGAAAAAATGTACTTTTTCTGCAACAGTTGCAACATAAATTCCTGTAGTAACGAACAAAGAAAGGCATTTTATTGTTTTAGTTAACTCTTCATCAAATCAACTTACTTATGGAACAGTTTGATGCTATTGTTGATCCCCTAGAGGGAGTGGTGTAATTGCTACTACAGGCCGTACAGTTGTCATTTCCTGTAGTGGTCTTATAGTAGCCTATCATACAATCATCACATTGCCCAGTAGAATTTAGGTATTTCCCAGGAACACAATATGCTGTGAACAAAGTTTACAATTAATTGCAAGAGGTGTCAAATTAGTTTTATTATTTTCCCTCTATCAGTTTTTTTTTTAAAACAGTTTTCTTTGGTATATATAAACAAAGAAAATCACACATACGGTCATTGCAGTCATTTGGACTAACTGAAGCCACACTGGTTGTAAGAAATCCATCAGGACATTTGGTGCATTCATCATTTCCTCTGACTGCCTTGTAAAATCCCCTAATGCATGGAATACAGCTGTTCTGATGAAAGTAGAAGCCCACGTCACAGAACACTGAAATTGTATGTTGGAGAGATGATTATATATTTTTAATTAAAATTATATTATAGTATTGAAAAAGAAGAAGGTACAGTTTCAATACAAACTAGAACTGTCCAAACGGGACAAAATACCCCCCGCTGGGTTTTTCAGAAGTAAGTTTTTCCATAATAAAGATATGTATCAAAAACAAATTATGAAATTTTTATTCCAGTGACCTTGAACTTCCCCAAATAACCTTGGGTCAAGGTCATGACACACCCTTGGATCATGGGCAATCTTTCAGTGAAATGAGAACCTTCCAAGTTTATCCATAAGAAAGATATGGACTGGACACGAATTATGAAATTTTTCTTCCAGTGACCTTGAACTTCCCCAAATGACCTTGGGTCAAGGTCATGACACACCCTTGGGTCATGGGCAATCTTTGTGTGAAATAAAAACCTACCAAGTTTATCCATAAGAAAGATATGGACCGGACACGAATTATGAAATTTTTCTACAAGTGACCTTGAACTTCCCAAAATGACCTCGGGTCAAGGTCATGACACACCCTTGGGTCATGTGCAATCTTTGTGTGAAATGAGAACCTACCAAGTTTGTCCATAAGAAAGATATGGACCGGATACAAATTATCTTCCAGTGACCTTGAACTTCCCAAAATGACCTTGGGTCAAGGTCAGGACACACCCTTGGGTCATGGGCAATCTTTGTGTGAAATGAGAACCTATCAAGTTTATCCATAAGAAAGATGTGGACCGGACAGGGAATATAAAAAAATTTCTTCCAGTGACCTTGAACTTTCCCAAAAGACCTTGGGTCAAGGTCATGACACACCCTTGGGTCATGGGCAATCTTTGTGTGAAATGAGAACCTACCAAGTTTATCCATAAGAAAGATATGGACCGGACACAAATCATGACATTCTTCTTCCAGTGACCTTGAACTTCCCCGAATGACCTTGGGTCAAGGTCATGACACACACTTAGGTCATGAGCAATCTTAGTGTGGAGTAGTAGATTCTAATGTCCCTCTGTAAGAAAGATATGGACCGGACACAAATGCACAGACAGACGGACAGCTGGACAGACAGACAGACGGACAAGGTGATTCCTATATACCCCCTCAAACTTCGTTTGCAGGGGGTATAATAAAGCCCTATATTTTTCTAAAATATGAAAGTAATATAAGAAATTAAAATGAATTCTTTCTGAATCATAGGAATTCTCTGCAGTAAGAAGTCACCAATGGTTTTTCTCATATGACCTCCTAAATGCCAATTGTGACGTCATTAACACTGCATTTTTCCCATATTTTCTTGAAAAGTTGCAAAAGGTCTCAAAATTCATTGGAATTTTCTGTCAGAAAATATACTCTGCCACCGTCGCCCGGAACAATTTTGAGATATGTGATTTTTCATAGCTTTTTGCACAATATATCCAAAAATTAAAGCGGATGACGGTGGCGGACACTATCTTCTAAAGGAAAATTAGCATAAAAACGAGTCATTTTGAAGCTTTTCTGCATTAAACTTAAAAAATATATCAAATTAATTACGTCATATTTTCAAGAAAGGCTCTTCTTCATGCAATATTCTTTAATGATTCATCATATTCATCTACTCAGCTATTGTCAAAGCCAATTTCATAACTTTTTAAGAACATTAAATTTTTAGGGCACAATACGTATACAGCTCAAACGTACTGTCTTCTTTATTTCTTATCAAAAATGTACTCAAAGGAATGTATGGAATATGCTGAGATAATGAACAGTATATAGTCACAGATTTTAATTTCTTATTTACATGCAGGAATTAACCTTGGGCATAAAATGCTGAAATAATTTTTTTTGTAAGTTCATAAAAAGAGGAAATTTAAAGTAAAATGTTCATCAGATGTGAAATGTAGTTTCACTTGACTTTGCTATTTTATGCACTCTTAATATAGTCATTAAAATGATGAAATTCAGCCCCCACCTCTCAATTGTGCTCACCATGCAACCACTGGGGAGATCTAGTTTTAGACCATGCTGTATTTTAAATACAGACAAGTTAGCCACCACAACAGAATATATATGGCTTATTCTGAACGGGGAAATAGCTCCGCTTACTGAGGTCCCATACTGTATTGTTAATACAGCACTAGAACAGCAAACATCAAAGAAAAAGAATGATAACGTGTCACAAATATGTAATGAAATTCAGGTTATAAACTTCCCATAAAAACCTTCTAGCAGAAAAAACTTACATGAGTCACAGTCAGTGCGTTGGTCGTTGGCTGTATAATTGCCAGTACATTTTGTGCAAGTGCTGATTCCTGGTGAACTTTTGGCATACCCCTCCTTACATGGAATACATACTGTTTGTCCCTCTTTTCCAGCTGGACAGAAAACTGTAAGAACAAAAAAAAAATATTGAACAGATAAAAAATATAGCATTGTATGACAGAAAACTGTTTTAAACAAGAGGCGCATGGGCCTTAAAGGTCACCTGAGCATTATGCAACAACTTTCCAGTGATTGAATTTGATTCATGATTTAAACCAGATGCTATGGCATTCACAATTTTAATGGCATCATTGATCATCATAACTATACACTTAGCAGTTGCTTAGTTAGGTTACTTAATACCCATAGGCAAGGCAGAGGAACAAAAAAAAATCATTTCAACTAATCAATTATTTTAGGCAATAATCAGTAGTGCCCCTACCTCACATGAACCCCTGACCCTTAGGCCTAGATCCACACATTGCACAATTGTTAAAAAGGCATCCTTGCTTTTCAAAAATACTTGATTAATACTGAGGAGCAGATTTCAAACAATTCATTCATTTTCAGTCTATAAGTACAGCCCCCCCCCTCTACAATACCCCTGACCCTGGGGCCTTGAAATTAACAATTCTGGAAGAATGGGTCTTGGTTCATAACTATAGGTAGTGCAACTGCTTAATACCCAGGAGCAGAGAAGATTTTCAAAGAATTCATGAATTTTCACTACATAATCAATAGAGCCCCCCCCCCAACACCAGAACCCCTGACTCTTAGGTCCTAAAATTCACAATTTTGGCAGAGGCATTCTTGCTCATTATAACTATGCACTTAGTTAGTTTATTTAATACCTAGGAGCAGAGAAGAAGACTTTCAAAGAATTCACGTATTTTCACTATATAATCAATAGAGCCCCCCCCCCCCCCCCCCAACACAAGAACCCTGACTCTGGGACTTTAAAATTCACAATTTTAGTAGAGGCACTCTTGCTCATTATTATAACTATGCACTTAGTTAGATTATTTAATTCCTAGGAGCAGAGAAGAAGACTTTCAAAGAATTCACATATTTTCACTATATAATCAATTGAGCCTCCCCCCCAACACAAGAACCCCTGACCCTGGGGCCCTAAAATTCACAATTTTAGTAGAGGCACTCATGCTCATCATAACTATGTTAGTTTATTTAATATCTAGGAGCAGAGATGAAGATTTTCAAAGAATTCACATATTTTCACTATATAATCAATTGAGCCTCCCCCCCAACACCAGAACCTCTGACCCTGGGGCCCTAAAATTCACAATTTTGATAAAGACACTCTTGCTCATCATAACTATGCACTTAGTTAGTCTATTTAAAATCCAGGATCAGAGAAGAAGATTTTCAAAGAATTCATGTATTTTCCCTATATAATAAATAGGGCCCCACCCTAACACCAGAACCCCTGACCCTGGGGCCATAAAATTCACAATTTTGGTAGAGGCACTCTTGCTCAGCATAACTATGTACATAGTTTGTTTATTTAATAACCAGGAGCAGTGAAGAACATTTTCACAGAAATCATGCATTTTCACTATATACTTATTTAGCCCCGCCCTAGCACTAGAACCCCTGACCCCAGGGCCATGAATTTCACAATTTTGGTAGAGGACTCAATGCTGATTACAATCATGCAAACAGTTTGACTGCTTGATGTCCAGGAGTAAAGAAGAAGATTTTTAAAGATTGCATTAATTTTAGTGGTTTTGGCCCCACCCCTCAGACCCCAGGGGGGAAGGGATCATAAAATTCACAATTTTTGTTCCCCTTCAACCATAGATGCTTTGTGCAAAATTTGGTTGAAATTAGTTCAGTAGTTGCAGAGAAGAAGCTGAAAATGTTCAAATGTTAACGCACAACGCACGATGACGGACGAAAACAGATAGCAATAGGTCACCTGAGTTTACTCAGGTGACCTAAAAAGATCATAAAATCATGGCTTAAAAAATTACATATTTTACAATTTCAACCCTGTATGAAAGAAAACTGTTTTAAACTAGAACTGTCCAAGAGGGACAAATACCCCCGCTGGGATTTCAGAGTAGGTGCCAATTCAGAAATATTTTATGGATCTAGTAAGAGGTGTTCACTACTGTTTAATAAAGTGCCCCGCCACAGCATGATACGCCCATCAAATATTGTTCAATAATCATAAATTGGTTAGGGTGCAAGAAAATCAAATAACCTTGATTAACATATTGACAAAGATTTCAATGATCTAATTTTCATTTCTTATCATTTTTAAAATATTGTACATACATCTCTAAGAGACTTACAATGTAGGGATTAATTAAAACAAATAGTATATCATATAATTCTAAACTGGCTGTGTTAGAGCTTAACAAATATCCATCTGCAGCTTTAAATTGTTAATTGCATATTATGAAATAATGGAAATGCTACTCTAATAAAAAAAAATCAAAAATTAATTATTCTTTAGACTATAAAATTCTAAGTGAGACATGACTGCAATTTGTTGCAAATATATAAAAATTGAAATGTATTTTTTCTTTAATGAACACATGTATAATTAATTTTAATTATATTATACAATACTAATTCAGTTTTAATCATACACTAAAACATCAATTTGTTTTAATTACATTACACCAATTGAAAGATCTTTATCTGGACTACAGCCATCAAGAACTCTTAATTAACACAAGCAACTATAAGGCCATTTCTTTTTGCCCAACTCCCAAGAGATAAATTAAGATAACACTACATGATCAGTTCTAGAGATGCTCTTGCTAGTTAACTCATGAACAATGAACTCATTAATTTCTCTCTAATTTGACATGCACATTTCTGCTATCCAAATTCTCCTTGACCGGTGCTTGATAATTATGCCCATGGGACAAACTGAATTCCTCTCAAAACATTAACATTTATTACAGAATTTGCTGTAAAGTATATGATGAAAAAATAAGTTTTTACTTAGGCAAAAAAAAATTAATTTCTTGGTGCTCTGGCCCTCCCTCATCTCTTCCAAGGGTGACTCAGTGACCCTTTTCATTGCTTAATCAATAAAATAAAAACAAATCACCTCCCTCATCATTTTTTGAGGTTTTGTACAATTTAAAAAGCTGCCTCATCATGTTTTGGGGGCAATAAAAAAGAAAAAACAAGAGGCCCAGGGGCCACAGCGCTCACCTGAGTACCTCGGCTAGGAAAAAGCACATATCAGATAAGAACTGAAAGTTTACTGAGGTGGGGGGGGGGGGGGGGGCTTGAATTTTAACCCCCCAGGGGCTCATGATCAAGAATGCTTCCACATAAGCTTCACTTTTTCTGGCCCAGTGGTTCTTGAGAAGAAGATTTTCAAAGATTTTTCCTATATATTTCTATATTAAACTTTGATTCCCCATTGTGGCCCCGCCCTTCCCCCTGGGGTCATGATTTGAACAATTTAGAATCTACATTATACCAGGATGCTTCCACATAAGTTTCAGCTTTACTGGCCCAGTGGTTCTTGAGTAGAAGGTTTTCAAAGATTTTTCCTATATATTTCTATGTAAAACTTTGATACCCTATAGTGGCCCCGCCCTTCCCCCGGGGGTCATTATTTGAACAATTTAGAATCTACACTATACCAGGATGCTTTCACATAAGTTTCAGCTTTTCTGGCCCAGTGGTTCTTGAGAAGAAGATTTTCAGCTTTACTGGCCCAGTGGTTCTTGAGAAGAAGATTTTCAAAGATTTTTCCTATATATTTCTATGTAAAACTTTGATTCCCAATTGTGGCCCCTCCCTTTCCCCGGGGGTCATTGTTACGAAATTCATTTCGTCACTGTTGTGTATTTCATTGATCACTCGCAGCGTATGCAGTTGTTATTAGCATATTGATATGTACATGATTGTTTGTTATTAAATAATTGATAAAAAGCTGTAAAAGAAACAAGTTATATGCTGTCAATCATATAATATTGTTTTAGAATCAGGTTCACTGTATTTCGACCCGGTCTCGATCTCGATAGCATGTTTGAAGTCAATTATCACGTTTCGTCTTTGAACATTGTATTGTCATTGTTTAAATCAACTTAATAACGTAATAGCTACTTGTACTTATCGTATTTTGGAAGATAAAATCCCATTTTGTATGGTTAGTAATGATTTTCTATTAGAAAACTTCTCTGCGTGCACTTTCCCTGATTTGTTTATAACGGAAGTGGCGTAGGGTCATTCTGGGTCAGCGATTGGCTAATTGAGGTTACTGGGTACAGTAAAGGTATATAAAGAAGCGAAAATTCGTCTGCTGCAGGAGAAGGGGGGAGAAGTTGGGAGGATACGGAAGCCTCCAGATTATTATTTTAGAAGTGCTCCCATCATTGGTAATCATTAAAGGGATGGCAGACCCTATGCAGACCAGATGGGTAATTATATTAGTCAAGTTATATTAAATTGAGACGCTGAGATATCCTTGTGGGAGACCCATAAGTAGAGTGGGAGACCCATGGACGGGAAAACTTATGGGAGAATTTATGGGAGTTACAATTTATTAATAAAACTATATAGGGCTTATAGAATAGGTATAAATAAATTATATTAAATCAAGGAAAGTATATTTTGGTACAAGTAGTTAATTTTTATAATTATTTTGGGAGATTTAGATATTTTACCTATGGGTTGTGGGAGTGACTTCACTTTATAAAAGACTGATATTGTATTGTGATTTTTATTATAACAATACTTACATTTATTTGTACAAAGTGTAAATAAATTTTATTTGTTGAACTTTTATCCTGACTTAATTATTAATTTATAAGTTAACATACGAGAATGGAAAGCCCACACCTTTGCCCCACTCTCTCCCGAGGTGGGAGGCGCAACATCATGATTTGAACAATTTAGAATCTACACTACCCCAGGATGCTTCCACATACGTTTCAGCTTTACTGGCCCAGTGGTTCTTGAGAAGAAGATTTTTTAATGACCCAACCCTATTTTTGTCTTTTCTTGATTATCTCCCCTTGCGAGGGAGTATGTCCCTTTATTTTAATAATTTAAATTCCCCTTCACGCAAGGATGTTTTGTACCAAGTTTGGTAAAAATTGGCCCAGTGGTTCTTGAGAAGAAGTCGAAAATGTGAAAAGTTTACAGACGGACAGACAGACGGACGACGGACAAAATGTGATCAGAAAAGCTCACTTGAGCCTTCGGTCCAGGTGAGCTAAAAAGGCCTGAGAACCAAGTAATTAACTTTGCATGGCCTTAATTTAGCATTTTAAATAAGGCTACAACTATATTTTTACATTTTTTTGGATTATGAAATTAAAAATTTTAAAGACTTAGTTTTTTTTTTTAAAAATCACTTAAAGGTCACAGTTACCTTTAAATAGGTCGTGACACATCTTCTACCCAAGATGCATAATTTTTCCAAGTTTGATGATTATAAGTCTAATAGTTTTCTAATAATGAGCCAAACAAAATCACAAAATAAAAAATAAAAAACGCCTGCAAAATGCAGAAAAATCATCCAATCATGATGAAAATACCAGGTGCACACCTTCATATGGTGTATAATAAGTGTATAAATTTTCAGACAAATCCATCCAACAGTTTCTGAGAAACGGTCCGCATAAAATCTTGTCTACAGAGGGACAGACAGACAGACATGGTGATTCCAATATACCCCCCTAAACTTCGTTTGCGGGGGTATAAAAAAGATCATAAAACCATGGCTTAAAAAATTACGTATTGTACAATTTCAACCCTTATATTGTCTCAAAAGAATATAAAGGATAATAATATGTTTTGCCCTGACATACTCTGGCAATCCTCTGCACTAGTTGCTCCTGTTGAACTAGTATTTAGGTCTGGTCCACAGGGTTTGCAAGAAATTTGGTGGCGGTTTGGCTGGTAGGTTGCAAAGTCACAAGGGAGACAATCACTACCATTAATGTATGACCCTGGACTGCAATCCACTGAAGAATACAATACATAGAATACCAGTCATAAAATTCCTAAGTTTTTGTCCATAATTTAAGCTTTTTAGTAAAAACTATACATACAAAGAGTGCAGTTGTCTTGAGATATCATTCCAGGACCCGTGGTGGTATAATTAACTCGACACATAGTGCATCCCTCAAATTTCATGGTGAAATTCCCATTGTTCCATGTTCCTTTGGGACAAGCTTCACAAGCACTTGATGTAGAATTATAAAACTGCCCTTGGGAACACACAGCTGTGAAAAATATATTGAAATTCTTGACATTTATTGTTGGTTTAAAATCCAGCCAACAAATGCTTGCATTCTATCTACAGCAATTCAAGTTTTTTTATTTATTGATTTCAACAAAATCACAAATGAAAAGAAAATCATTAGTATTGTAGATATTTATGACTTACGAAGACAATCAGAGGAGCTATTGGACATTTTCTGCTTTGTGCCGGTAGCATCTGGACATGCTTTACACTTGTCTATAGATGTTGGTACATCCACTGACTGATGGTAATCTAATTCACAATCAGCACAACCACCACTACTTCCTATCTCTTGGCCACTGCTACAAATATCTGTCGATGTCAAATAATTAGTGCATTACAACACAGCAAAATTACATATAAATCTGGTATAAAATTTTATGATATTATGTAGAATCTTTAAAAAAAATGAAATATGGATCTTATATAATATAAAAGCAAAAAAAACAAGAGGTCCACGGGCCTTACAGGTCACCTGAGCATTATGCAACAACTTTCCAGTTACAGTGTATTGAATTTGATTCATGTTTTACATCAGATGCTATATGGCATTCACAATTTTGAAAGGGCACCATTGATCATCATAACAATAAACTTAGCAGTTGCTAAGTTTGGTTACTGAATACCCATACGCAGGGTAGGGGAACAAAAATGCACTCCAACTAATCAGTAATATTCATCAATAATCAGTAGTGCCCCTAACACTCTGACATAAACCCCTGACCCTAGGTTGCACAAATTTTTAAAAGGCAACCTTAAAATTGCCTATCAAAAAGTAAATAAATGTTTTATAAATACAAAGGACCAGATTTCAAGCAATTAATTCATTTTCAGTATATAAGTAGAGACCCCCCACCCCTGACCCTGGGGCCTTGAAATTCACAATTCTGCAAGATTAGGGCCCTTGCTCATCATAACTATATAGGTAGTTCATCTGCTTCATACCCAGAGACAGAGAAGAAAATTTTCAAAGATTTAATGTATTTTTTCACTATATAATCAATAGAGCCCGACCCTAACACCAGAACCCCAGACTCTGGTGCAATGAAATTCATAATTTTAGAAGAGGCATTCTTGCTCATCATAACTATGCACTTACTTAGTTTATTTAATACCTAGGAGCAGAGAAGAAAATTTTCAAAGAATTCGTGTATTTTCACTTTATAATCAATAAAGCCCCCCCCCCCCCCCCCACTAGAACCATTGAAGCTGGGGGCATAAAATTCACACTTTTTGTAGAGGCACTCTTGCTCATCATAACTATGCACTTAGTTAGTTTATTTAATACCTAGGAGCAGAGAAGAAGATTTTCAAAGAATTCATGTATTTTCACCATATGATCAATAGAGCCCCCCCCCCCCCCAAACACCAGAACCTTTGATAATAGGGCCATTAAATTCACAATTTTGGTTGAGGCACACTTGCTCATCATAACTATGCACTTAGTTAGTTTATATAATACCTAGGAGCAGAGGAGAAGATTTTCAAGGAATTCACATATTTTCACTATATAATCAATAGAGCCCCCCCCCACACACACACCAGAACCCTTGACCCTGGGGCCATAGAATTCACAATCTTGGTTGAGGAACACTTGCTTATCATAACTATGTACTGTAACGAAAAAAATATAAGATTAATATAATATTTATCTGCCGTGCCTTAAATATTTGTAATAGACCCGGTATAAATAACTCTACAGCTTTTCGTTATAATAATACGTGGGCTCTGTACCTTTAGACAGTCAACAAAACAAGAGAAAGTCTGTGTATAAAAGAAACATGTAATAATTTATTGTATAAAAGTACATAAAACAAACGCGATCTTTGGAACCTCCAGGATACTTTGGGAAGGTGTAAAAATGGAAGGTGCACCACTCTGGAAGCGAAGGTGCAACGATATGGAAATGAAGGGGCGGTAGCAGACGTTGCTAATGTAAACAAATATATGTCAGGAGTATATAAGGGAAACTCTGGTAACTGGGGAAGGTGCACACTATTACAATTAAATAGTCACCTTCTGTAGCTGGGAAGGGTTACTCAGTAGCACCTTCTGGGCCATTCTAAGGCTTTGTAATCACAATATGAACTTGGTAAAGATAAATTCCAAACTGGCACCTTCAACGGGCCTCTCTGTTTATAAACACAGAAGAGTTACGTCATTATCCAATCAGCGAGCGTCTAACAAACAAGGTAGCACGTGCGAAACTTCAAGCCGAAGTAATCAAATACGGAGGGAAATCGAAGCACATTAGGGCTGTAAACATGGATTATGGATAAAATATCGCTTATGGTGGATGGTAAAACATGAATTAAACACAGGTAAGCACTACTGTGAGTAATGACACATATTTAATGCCACAAGGGTCGAGAACAACATCCCGAACGAATGTAAACAACACATTAAGTCCTTGTGAAACGGCATGTTTCTACTTTCGCTTTCAATCAAAGCTAATAGATTATCAATAAATCGGCATAAACACATTAAATCACTTGAAATAACATATCTACACTCCGTAATAATGTGTAAATATCCATGCTAAGGTAAAATAATAATCACAAGTAATAACTATGGTTGGCACAAGGTACAGGCCCACCTAAATTCATAACAGTACTTAGTTAGTTTATTTAATACCTAGGAGCAGAGAAGAAGATTTTCAAAGAATTCATGTATTTTCACTTTATAAACAATAAAGTCCCCCCCCCCCCCTCCACCAGAACCATTGACGATGGGGCCATAAAATTCACAATTTTTGTAGAAGCACTCTTGCTCATCATAACTATGCACTTAGTTAGTTTATTTAATACCTAGGAGCAGAGAAGAAGATTTTCAAAGAATTCATGTAATTTCACTATATAAACAATAGAGCCCCCCCCCCCCAACACCAGAAGCCTTAACCCTGGGGCCATAAAATTCATAATTTTGGTTGAGGCACTCTTGCTCATCATAACTATTTACTTACTCGGTTTATTTAATACCCAGGGGCAGAGAAGAAGATTTTCAAAGAAATCATGTATTTTTACTATATAATCAATAGAGCTCCACCCTAAGACCAAAACCCCTGACCCTGGGGCCATAAAATTCACAATTTTGGTAGAGGCACTCTTGCTCATCATAACTATGTACTTAGTTGGTTTATTTAATACCCAGGAGCAGAGAAGAAGATTTTCAAAGAAATAATGCATTTTCACTATATACTTATTTAGCCCTGCCCTAGCACTAGAACCCCTGACCCCAGGGCCATGAATTTCACAATTTTGGTAGAGGACTCAATGCTGATTACAATCATGCAAATAGTTTGACTGCTTGATGTCCAGGAGTAAAGAAGAAGATTTTTAAAGATTGCATTAATTTTAGTGGTTTTGGCCCCACCCCTCAGGCCCCAGGGGGGCAGGGATCATGAAATTCACAATTTTTGTTCCCCTTCACCCATAGATGCTTTGTGCCAAATTTGGTTGAAATTGGTTCAGTGGTTGCAGAGAAGAAGCTGAAAATGTTTAAATGTTAACACACGACGGACGACGACGGATGAAAACGAATAGCAATAGGTCACCTGAGTTTATTCAGGTGACCTAAAAATTAAAAAAAAAAATTCTCTCTGAAACATCAATTTTATAATTCCAATGACATTTGATATGAAATCTTCAAAAACTTGCATTAAATCTTATAAATGTACTCACTTATAGAACAATCATTGATGCTGGTGGTTTTCATGCTTTCTGTTGTGTTACCAGAGGGACAAGCTGAGCACATGCTGAACACATCTGTGTTGTTCTTATATTGGCCTCGTGGACATGGCCGACAAGTTTCATTTGCTGCAGCCAAGACTTCATACCCAGCTGGGCAATAAACTAAAAGAAAATTAAAGTTCAAATATTTTTGATAAAGAATCCTGATGTATGAACATAACTTGATGACAAAATATTTGTAAATCAAAGAAAATTATGATATCTTCCTAATTGTGATCAGACCTATGAACATCACCTCATCTCATTTAAAGAATAAGTGAACAGAAGCAAACACCTGTAACTCAACTTTAATCTACATTAACGTAGGATGCTTCTATATTTCTTTGACTAATCCTGGCTTTAGAAAATTTCTTTTCCTTAAAGTTTTATTTTCTGTTGTGGACCCATCCTATCCCCGAAGTCATGATTAAAACAATCATGAATCCTTACTTTCAGCTCAGATGAGCTAAAAATCTTGGAATGGCTTAATATCGCATAACTTAAGTGTTTTACTTACATTCACAATCAGATCTGTTATTTTTTCCTTCTGACTTTGTTGTATAGTTTACTGGACATTTCATACATTTCTCTTGAAGATCCATTGGCTGATATTCTCCAACGGGGCAAGGAACACAGACATTTGAGGAATTACGGAATGTTCCATTGTAACAGATTTCTGTTTTTCAAAACAATATAGTGTAATTAAAATATTTATCTTATGTACTTGTTTCCTCTTAAACATTGTATTATCATATATATTTTGAATGCATTAATTAACAGGATTATTTGGAGGTGCAGAAAGAAAAACCAGAAGTCTCTGTCGAGAATGTAGCTCTACTGGTTTGTACTTATCAAAAACCATTGCACTATTTTATGTATCTTTGTGTAGTTTACTTGTGTGCCAACTTAATTTGAAATCAAACTAAAACTGTAGAAGGAGTAGCGTTTTAAAGATATTCACAGAAAATTCTATTTTTAGTAACCATGGCAACATCGTTCATCGAAATCAAAAACCGATGCACTATAGAATCTATGTATCTTAGTGTAGTCTACTTGTGTGCAAAGTTATATTGAAATCAGACCAAAACTGTAGAAGGAGTAGTGTTTTAAAGGAATTTCACAGAAAATTCTATTTTTAGTAACCATGGCAACATCGTTCATCGAAATTAAAAACAGATGCACTCTTCTATGTATCTTAGTGTAGTCTACTTGTGTGCCAAGTTATATTGAAATCAGACCAAAGCTGTAGAAGGAGTAGCGTTTTTAAGGAATTTCACAGAAAATTCCATTTTTAGTAACCATGGCAACACCGTACATTGAGTTTAAAATCTGATGCACTATTCTATGTATCTTAGTGTAGTCTACTTGTGTGCCAAGTTATGTTGAAATCGGACTAAAATTGTAGGAGGAGTAGCGTTTTGAAAAATTGTTTACAGACAGACGGAGAGACAGACAGACTGACGGACGGACGACGGACGCATTACTATCGCAAAAGCTCTTCTGGTCTCTGACCAGTAGAGCTAAAAATAAAGAAACATAATGAGTAATAACTCATCACTAAAGAAATTATAAATTAAGTTTAAAAGCAATTTCCTCATAGATTATACATGTATATACTCATCAAATGAGGAAAATTATTTTATCTTTTCTTTTCAGTTTTGAGGATAACCCAAATGAAATGCCATACATGTGATATGTACCGGCGGTACAGGAAATGTCCCGTTTTTTCGACCCCCATCACAGTGTCCCAGCGGTACAACAAAATTCACGGGAAATGAAAATGTGTACTGTATTTTGAAATGTTTACCGAAAACCGCCATTTTTCTTTCATTCCCGCTCTCGCAACACCGGAAATCTCGAAGTATGCGTGACTTACTGCCCTTGATAAATGTAAACAAAACAGCATGAACGAAGGTGGGAAATATTCCCGTGATAATTACATCGTAATTAGGAGATATCAAAGCATTTTGTTTGGCTGATTGCTTTTTAATAGGACAGGTTTATCAAGGATTCTTTTAAACTGTAATTTAGTGAAAGTAAAGACATTTCAAAGAAAACACCATTCACAAGAATCGGAGACACTTTGTGACAGCAAAACGAAAATTTGTCCATTATTTGATCAGGCATACGTATTATCTATTTAAACACAGATTAAGAGAAATGATTTTTAGTACAATTTTAATAATGCAGCTGAATGGAAACGACCAGATTCATACAATAAAGTGTTTTTAAACACTACTTTTTACTAAGTTCAGCATTTAGTATAGTTTTATGCCGAAATTCAAAATTCTTCAAGAGTTTTTTGAAATGAAAAATAATTAAATCATAGTACATGTTATGCAGTGGTGCACCTGAACATCGATTTGAAATTTATTATTAAAAAATTGTTTTTTTGGTCGATATTTTGTACCGTTTTTTGTACAGTTTTTTTGTTAGCAATGTACAGTATTTTCATCCAAATTCCAGTATTTTGAAGGCTGCTGTACAGTATCTGGGTCTAGAAATTATCACATGTATGAAATGCACTTGTTTAAAATGCATCATATGTTTAAGCATACAGTCTTTCTTACATTTCTTACATTTAAGCTCCGAATTTTTTTTTCCATGATCAAGGGATCTAAGAATTCATTTTCTTACTGTACAATACAAATCCACTTTAATAGCTTACATAAATCAAATTTAAATTAAAGTTTGAATGACTTTCATTGTTTATAAAAATTGCAATCATTTATACTCACTAATAGTACATTGATCAATGGTGGTGGTTTTTATTCCCTGTGTTGTAAATTCTGAAGGACAAGGTGAACACATGCTGAACACATCTGTGTTGTTCTTATATTGGCCTCGTGGACATGGCCGACAAGTTTCATTTGCTGCAGCCAAGACTTCATACCCAGCTGGGCAATAAACTAAAAGAAATATAGTTTTAGTATTTAAAATAAAATTATTGGCACAATGTTGACACAACAGCTTCAGGTTTAGAAGACATTTAGTCATTATAGTATATAATACAAGACTGATATAGAGCACACATGATGCGTAAAAAGTGCAAAGTCAGTAGAACAGTAGAAACTATATATTTCAAGCCTAATATATTGATCAACATTGAAAAAAGTAATTTGAATTTGGTCTAACAACTAAATCAAAATGCTTTGTACACCATTAGAAATATCCATAAAATATAAGTATTTGCACTACAAGATAATAATTTTCTCTAAACTGTACTAAAAATCATTGTTTTTCACTAGAAGTATTATAGCTATCACAAGTGGTTCACTTACATTCACAATCAGATCTGTTATTTTTTCCTTCTGACTTTGTTGTATAGTTTACTGGACATTTCATACAGCTCTCTTGAAGATCCATTGGCTGATATTCTCCAACAGGGCAAGGAACACAGACATTTGAGGAATTACGGAATGTTCCATTGTAACAGATTTCTGATATTCACATAATGAATATAAAATCAATAACCAATTTATCAAACAATAAATAACATTAGCAATATTTTATTACAACAGAGGCCCATGGGCCACATCGCTCACCTGAGAAGCTTTGAACATTCTGTTCTTTACCAGATTTCCCCCTTGTAATACATATTGTGACCCCACCCTACCCAACTGATCATAATTTAAACAATTTGAAATCTACACTACCATAGGATGCTTTGATTCAACATTGTAAATCTTTGATTCCCCATTGTGGCCCCATCCAAACCCTGGGGGTCATGATTAAAACAATTAAAAATCTACACTATCTCAGGATGCGTCCATACAAGTTTCTGCTTTTCTGGCCCAGTGGTTCTTGAAAAGAAGATTTTTCTTATATATTTCTATGTAAAACTTTGATTCCCCATTGTGGCCCCATCCAACCCCCGGGATCATGATTTGAACAATTTAGAATCTACACTACCCCAGGATGCTTCCACATAAGTTTCAGCTTTTCTGGCTCAGTGGTTCTTGAGAAGAAGATTTTAAAAGATTTTTCCTATATATTGCTGTGTAAAACTTCGATCCCCCATTATGGCCCCGACCAACCCCAAGAGGTCATGACTTTAACAATTTAGAATCTACACTACCCCGAGATGCTTCCACATAAGTTTAAGCTTTTCTGGTCCAGTGGTTCTTGAGTAGAAGATTTTCAAAGATTTTTCCCATATATCTTTATGTAAAACTATGATTCCCCATTGTGGCCCCACCTACCCCCAGGGGTATTTAAATAATTTAGAATCTGCACTACCCCAGGATGCTTCTACATAAGTTTCAGCTTTTCTGGCCCAGTGGTTCTTGAGAAGATTTTTAAAGATTTTTCCCGTATATTTCTTTGTAAAACTTTGATTCCCCATTGTGGCCCTGCCCAACCCCCAGGGGTCATGATTTTAACAATTTAGAATCTACACTATCCAAGGATGCTTTCATATAAGTTTCTGCTTTTCTGGCCCAGTGGTTCTTGAGAAGATTTTTAAATATTTTTCCTATATATATTTCTATGTAAAACTTTGATTTCCCATTGTGGCCCCGCCCTATCCCTGGGGGTCATGATTTTAACAATTTAGAATCTGAACTACCTAAGGATGCTTCTACATAAGTTTTAGCTTTTCTGGCCCAGTGTTTCTTGAGAAGAAGATTTTAAAGATTTTTCCTATATGTTTCTTTGTAAAACTATGATTCCCCACTGTGGCCCCGCCCTATCCCTGGGGATCATGATTTTTTCAATTTAGAATCTATACTACCCCAGGATGCTTCCACATATGTTTTAGCTTTTCTGGCCCAGTGGTTCTTGAGAAGATTTTTTAATGACCCAACCCTATTTTGTCTTTTCTTGATTATCTCCCCTTGTGAGGGGACTTGGCCCTTCATTTTCACAATTTGAATTCTCTTCAACCAAGGATGCTCTGTACCAAGTCTGGTCAAAATTGGCCCAGTGATTCTTGAGAAGTCGAAAATGTGAAGTTTACAGACGGACAGACAGACAGATGGACAACGGACAAAATGTGATCAGAAAAGCTCACCTGAGCCGAAAATGTATGCACTCAACTGTTTTCTAAATTAGATCACACAAATCTTATTCTGGCCAAATTTTCCTTGAGGATTTCTTAGATAGCCTCGCTAGCTCAAATATCGAAAGCTTGGGAGGCAAATGGGACTGAAAGATCACAAAAACTAAACTGAGTTTAGTTACCCATCTTTGGTCTAAATTCTTAATTATCACAAATTTTAATCTTCTTTCAAGTATTGTGGTCCAATACTTAGCCAAAACATGATCTAATCAAAAGTACAGTTCACCGTCGATCTTTACTATTTAAACAACCATATAACCACTATGAACTATAATATTTTTCCTCAAAAGTTGAAGCCTTATATCAGTCAAGTGATTGAAAATACAATTTGTTTTATTTTCTCTTTGGTAATGCATGTATGACCAACTGACCAATGACCAATGAACTTCTAATCTCCATGTATGACATACTTATCACACAATCCACGGAATTTTCAGTCCTATTCCCAGCAGTTGTCATTCCAGCTGTACAGGGGGTGCAGACATCCTCTGCAAAACTACGGTAGTAACCACGAGGGCATGCCACACATTGCCCATCAGGCTTAAGTTCTGTTCCTTCTGCGCAGTCATCTAAAAAAAAAGTTGTAATTTTTAATTATTTTCACAATATTTTTTTCCAAATTAGAAAACAGTTTATTTTCTAATGAACTACCAAAAAGTTGCATGAATATCACTATTGTTTATCCTAATACTTGATCATGTCAAAACTATATAGAGCAAACTTTAAAAAAAAACAAAAAAAAAACTAGAATTTTGCGCATAGGACATGAATGCCCCGCCGAGGATATATTAATAAAGCAAAATGAAAATTTGTATGTGTATAAAATTTGATCAGTTTGGTTCAGGTATGGCTTATAGTTACTTGGGAATGAAAATATAGGTCAGATCCAGCATCCAAAGCAAGTCTGGTAGTGTCCATCCCTAGATGCATCATCCATGCAAGTTTGGTTCAGGTAGAGCTTATAGTTACTTGGGAATGAAAATATAGGTCAGATCCAGCATCCGAAGCAAGTCTGGTAGTGTCCATCCCTAGATGCATCATCCATGCAAGTTTGGTTCAGGTAGGGCTTAAAGTTACTTGGGAATGAAAGTATAGGTCAGATTCAGCATCCGAAGCAAGTCTGGTAGTGTCCATCCCTAGATGCATCATCCATGCAAGTTTGGTTCAGGTTGGGCTTATAGTTACTTGGGAAAAAAAAAAAAGGTCAGATCCAGCATCCGAAGCAAGTCTGGTAGTGTCCATGTCTAAGTGCATCATCCATGCAAGTTTGGTTCAGGTAGGGCTTATATTTACTAGGGAATGAAATTGTAGGTCAGATCCAGCATCCGAAGCAAGTCTGGTAGTGTTCATCCCTACATGCATCATTCGTGAAAGTTTGGTTTGGGTAGGGCTTATAGTTCCTTAGAATTGGACTTGCTCCAAAAACTTTAACCTGATCACTCATCTGGAAAATGTAGGTCAGATCCAGCATCCGAAGCAAGTCTGGTAGTGTTCATCCCTACATGCATCATTCGTGAAAGTTTGGTTTGGGTAGGGCTTATAGTTCCTTGGAAATGGACTTGCTCCATCATCTGATCACTCATCTGGAAAATTTAGGTCAGATCCAGCATCCGAAGCAATTCTGGTAGTGTCCATCTAAAGATGCATCATCAATGCAGGTTTGGTCTAAGTAGGGCTTATACTTCCTTGGGAATGGACCTGCTCCAAAACTTTAACCTGGTCACTCATCTGGAAAATGTAGGTCAGATCCAGCATTCGAAGCAAGTCTAGTAGTGTTCATCCCTAGATACATCATCCGTGCAAGTTGTATCAACATGTGAAGTTTGATAACACTATCTTGAATGGTATGTTTAAAATTGAGCAAAACACAAATTTAAGAAAAGTGAGGTCAAGGTCAAAAGAACGGTCAAGGTCAAAAAAATATTGATGTAGTTGCATAGCTCTCATCAATATCTATCAGCATATGAAGTTTGATGAAAATGTCTTGGATAGTTTCTTTGAAACTTAGCTTTGAACAGAGCTAAACACAAAGTGTGACGGAAGGACGGAAGGCGGACATGACAAACACTATATGCCCTGGCCATATTCATGGCGGGGCATAGAAAAAAGATAGTTGAATGGCAAGTAATTTTCTGTAACTTGTCAGATAAATATTGTAACTAATGTAAGTCATATGATATGAATTTATTTTTTGGAAATTTGTGAGGTACATGAAGAACAAAGCTTAAGGTATTAGATGTACAACAAGCATTGTTGAAGAATGAAATTTTACTTTATATTTCCTTATCTTTAGTGTTTTGAGGCTTTAATTCCAAAGTTACATTAAGTTTTGTCCAGACATATCTGAAACAAGAGGCCCATGGGCCACATCGCTCACCTGAGCACTAAGGGTAGAAAAAAAATGTGGAAAATGGCTTTTTATTGTAAAGTTTAAATCCAAAAGTATTCCCATGACCAATCATGGATTTGCTATTTTTTAGAAAATGATTTTTAAAGAATTTTCCTATATATATCTTTAAACTTTGGTCGGCCATTTTGGCCCCGCCCTACCCCCGGGGGTCATGATTTGAACAAATTTGAATCTACACTACTTAAGCATGCTTCCATATAAATATGATGAATTATGGCTTTGTCATTCTTGAGAAGAAGATTTTTAAAGAATTTTCCTATATATTTCTATGTAAAACTTTGGTCGGCCATTTTGGCCCCGCCCTACCCCCGGGGGTCATGACTTGGACAAATTTGAATCTACTCTACCTGAGCATGCTTCCATTTAAATATGATGAATTAGGGCTTTGTCATTCTTGAGAAGAAGATTTTTAAAGAATTTTCCTATATATTTCTAAGTAAAACTTTGGTCAGCCATTTTGGCCCCGCCCTACCTCCGGGGGTCATAATTTGAACAAATTTGAATCTACACTACTTGAGCATGCTTCCATATAAATATGATGAATTATGACTTTGTCATTCTTGAGAAGAAGATTTTTAAAGAATTTTCCTATATATTTCTATGTAAAATTTTGGTCAGCCATTTTGGCCCTGCCCTACCCCCGGGGGTCAAAATTTGAACAAACTTGAATCTACACTACCTGAACATGCTTCCATATAAATATGATGAATTATGGCTTTGTCATTCTTGAGAAGAAGATTTTAAAAGAATTTTCCTATATATATATTTCTATGTAAAACTTTGGTCGGCCATTTTGGCCCCGCCCTACCCCCGGGGGTCATGATTTGAACAAACTTGAATCTACACTACCTGAGCATGCTTTCATTTAAATATGATGAATTATGGCTTTGTCATTCTTGAGAAGAAGATTTTAAAAGAATTTTCCTATATATTCCTATGTAAAACTTTGGTCGGCCATTTTGGTCCCGCCCTACCCCGGGGGGTCATGATTTGAACAAACTTGAATCTACACTATCTGAACATGCTTTCATACAAATATGATGAATTATGGCTTTATAAAATTTTGGTCGGCCATTTTGGCCCCGCCCTACCCCCGGGGGTCATGATTTGAACAAACTTGAATCTACACTACCTGAACATGCTTCCATATAAATGTGATGAATTATGGCTTTGTCATTCTTGAGAAGAAGATTTTTAAAGAATTTTCCTATATATTTCTATATATAACTTTGGTCGGCCATTTTGGCCCCACCCTACCTCCGGGGGTAATGATTTGAACAAATTTGAATCTACACTACCTGAGGATGTTTCCCCATAAGTTTCATCTTTCCTGGCACTGTGGTTCCTGAGAAGAAGATTTTTAAAATATGCCACCAAATTTTCATTAATTCCCAATCATCTCCCCTTGAATGAGGGCGTGGCCCTTCATTTGAACAAACTTGAATCCCCTTCACCCAAGGATACTTTGTGGCAAGTTTGGTTGGCCCAGCGGTTCTTGAGAAGAAGTCGAAAATGTGAAAAGTTTACAGACAGACGGACAGACAGACGGACGCCGGACAAAATGTGATCAGAAAAGCTCACTTGAGCTTTCAGCTCAGGTGAGCTAAAAAGTAGAATTTTCAAATCATACCCCCACTATCGGAAACAGTGAAGGGTGTGTTATACCAGAAGAGGAATTCTGTGAAATAAACTCATTTTCAGACTGTAATTTTACTTTAGATGAACAAAAATAACATAGACGCTTCATAATAAAAGACTTTTTTTTCAAAAGTTACAATTAATTAATAAAATTTCCAGATTAAAACACGTTACTCAATGCTAAGTGTGTATTTCCTATAAAAACAATTAATTTTTAATTTTTTTTAATTAAAAAAGAAAAGAGTGGGCTAAAAATTATTTTGATAGAAAATGACTCTAATCAATGTTGTACAATAATAAGATATATAAAATATTTTTTACCAGGATATTTTGGAGTAATTAAGCATTTACTACCCCTACCCCCAATTTTAGTATCCGTATGCTGACACACAAATATAACTTTTCATTCTCAACACTATTAGTATGATTATGCCATACTTATATATTGATAAGTGTATAAAACAACATAAATAAATAAGCCTTATGACATTTTTAACAATGTCCTTGACCTTTTAACCTTGAAAAAAAAGTATTTATACACTTGTACAAGAACAATTCTTGGAGATAAAAAAAATGTACATGTAATCTTGTTCTTATGTTAGTTAAAAAAGTATGGTATTTTTTCCTTATATGTACAGAGAATTGCAAAAATCATGGAAATGAAATCAATTTAATATAAATATTTATTATGATACCCCCCCCCCCCCCCCCATCTATTTTTTCTCTATGAAATAAATACCTAGATTAAAAAACCAAAATGTGTTTTCCCTATTTTTTTTCTTTTTTTTTTTTTAAATAATAGTAGAAATAATTTAGTTCTCAAAGTTTTGTTCTTTTTTAAAATTTTTTTATTTTATTAATTTCCTCTCTGTTACGGGTATTTTATAAACCTTTAATTTAGAACCAGGAAGATTTTTTTTTTATTTGGAAACACAACCTTAGTATACAATCATGTAGTTATACAACAAAAAAACATCTGTTATGTCCAGAAAATGTTTTTTTTTTCATCAGAGAAAACTCAGGGAATTTTTTTTATGCAAACGAATGACAATGTACATTAGTCCGAAAAATCTGACGTTTTTCTGGCTTTTTTACAATTTTGATATTTTACTTGCCAGGAAAACGTCAGAACCGGCGCCATTACGAAAACTGGGAATTTCACCTTCTTCAACCGAAGTTGATTTTCTATACTTGGGAACCGAATTAGATGCCGAAATCACAATTTATCAATGGCACAATGCTACTAGAACTCACCAATAGTGATGAATAGAAATTACCACTCCACATTCCGATTCAGAACTTGCACGATTTTAAAATGCACGAAATGAAAACAAATCTCGACAGTCAGATAAAAATATGTTCATTGGATTATATTATTTCATAAACGAAACATAAAACCGATGTTGGTGAGTACTAAAGGTTTTGTACTATTGATAATATGTGAATTCAGCATTTAATTCGGTTTACAAGTATCGAAAATCAACCTCTGAATGCCGCCTCCGGTTGGAGGCGGCGATTTCCCAGTTTTCGTAATGGCGCCGGTTCTGACGTTTTCCTGGCATGTAAAATATCAAAATCGTAAAAAAGCCAGAAAAACGTCAGATTTTTCGGACTAAATGTACATGTACCGATCTATAGCTGTAACCGCGGTCTAGATCTAGTTTAGCGAATAAACTTGATTATAGATGCACACTTCCATGTGTTTCTTTACTATGTTTACTGAAAAATGAATAAAAATAACGAAAATCTGCTAAAATATTACATAGTTTAAAGAAATAAAAAAATTACCTCATTTTCTCTACACATCGAAGGATGTGCTATTCTTAGAACATGGAAAAACCCAAGTATGTATTTTACTTTGAAAGGACTGTTTATGCAGCAATTTGTCTAACAAAACTACTATATCATGGTTTTCTATCAATCTAACATTTGTTCTTTCCTCTGTTAAGTATATTTCTCTCATCTGACGGCATGAATAATGCCAGCGTCTATCAAGCCGTGTTGACGAAGAGCCATGCTTGTTTACGACGGTCGATAACTCTTAGACAGAAACAGTGTTACGACATCGGCAATCATCGGCAAACGCCGTCATTTTTACCGGAAGTGCCCTGTTATACATCTAAATCCTTAATTCATATTGGCATAATTTATAAATTGGGTTTTAAATGTTGAGTTCATTTCCCCTAGAATTAAATAATCAAATCAATTTAAAAAATGATATTGTTTTCAAGTTCAGAATAAGATACCAACCAAAACACTGTGAGGAGCTGTTGGATCCTATTCCACTTGTCTTTTTACCCAGAGGACAAGGCAAGCAGTAGTCCTGTCCAGCCATGTGTTGGTAAAAGTGTTTCTGGCAGAGGGAACATGAGGAACCATTTAGAAATTGTCCAACAGGGCACTCAGCTGAAAAAAAATAATTGATGTATATTTTGTTTGTAATACAGAGAAAAATAACAACTGATAAGACAAAACTATTGACAAAGAACAGATAATGCTAAGATTGTGTACTAACTATAGGTATTTTTAAGGTATCTGCCTCTTATCTAATGCTAATCTCTCTTAGTTGTACATAGTTTTATTCAAACAAAATAAAACTACTAATGGAAAACATTCTGAAAACCAATCTCTGACAAGACTGTCTGTATGTATAACAAAACAAGAGGCCCATGGACCACATCGCTCACCTGAGAAGCTTTTAATATTCTGTTTTTTACCAGATTTCCCCCTTGTAATACATCATTCATCCCCACCCTACCCCACTGATAATAATAAAGACATTTTGAAATCTACACTACCCCAGGATCCTTCCATGTGCACACAAGTTTCAGCCTTTCTGGCCAAGTGGTTCTTGAGAAGATTTTTCCTATATATTTCTATGTAAAACTTTGATTCCCCATTGTGGCCCCGCCCTTCCCCGGGGGGGCGGGGGTGTTATGATTTGAACAATTTAGAATCTACACTACCTCAGAATGCTTCCACATAAGTTTCAGCTTTTCTGGCCCAGTGGTTCTTGAGATGAAAATTTTCAAAGATTTTTCCTATATATTTCTATGTAAAACTTTGATTCCCCATTGTGGCCCGCCCTTCCCCTGGGGTCATGATTTTTACAATTAGAATCTACACTACCCCAGAATGCTTCCCCATAAGTTTCAGCTTTTCTGGCCCAGTGGTTCTTGAGATGAAAATTTTCAAAGATTTTTCCTATATATTTTTATGTTAAACTTTGATTCCCCATTGTGGCCCCGCCTTTCCCCCTGGGGTCATGATTTCAACAATTTAGAATTTACACTTCCCTAGGATGCTTCAATTTAACCTTTTGCTTTTCAGACACTGTGGTTCTTGAGAAGAAGATTTTTTAATGACCCCACCCTATTTTTGTCTTTTCTTTATTATCTCCCCTTGTGAGAGACCTGGCCCTTTATTTGAACAATTTAAATTCCCCTTTACCCAAAGATGCTTTGTACCAAGTTTGGACAAATTTGGCCCAGTGGTTCTTGAGAAGAAGTCAAAAATGTGAAAAGTTTACAGATGGACAGACAGACGGACGGCAGACAAAATGTGATCAGAAAAGCTTACTTGAGCCTTCAGCTCAGGTGAGCTATAAAGTGGCAGTTGGATTTGAAACTTTTCAACAGGCTGCAATAAATAGAATTATGGAGTCAACTTGTGTGTGAAGTTATCTTGAAATCAAACCAAAACTGTAACAGAAGTAGCAATTTGAAAGTATTTTATAGAAATTTATATTTTTAGTAATCATGGCAACAGTGTTCATACATAACAACCAAAGGTATCTGATGATACTGTAGTTCTACTGGTTTGTATGGATAAAAAAGTATCACTTGATTTGAAACTTTTGAACAAGCAGCAATAAACCGAATTATGTTTTTTAGTGTAATAGACTACTTGTGTGCCAAGTTATAATATTACAATCAGACCAAATCTGTAGGAGTAGCATTTTGAAAAATAAGAAGTCGGTGAGCATATGCTCACTAGTAATACCCCTGCTGTGATTTGAATTTGGTATAGACAAACACACAAATACATGAAGTTAATTGACATGGATTTTCACAAAAAAGAATCCTACCATTTAGCATGACAAAACAGTGTGCTTAAATTTTAAGCATCTAGGAAGCCAAGTGTAGTTGCTGAGAAAACTGTGACAAAAAATGTGTACGAAAATTTGTTGTGGATGGACATAAAAACAAGGACAAAATAGTGTACTCCCTCTTACTTGGAGCAGGACATAATATACATGGCAACATATTCCATTAAATTATACTAGAGGCCCATGGGCCACAACTCTCACCAAAGTAGCTTCAGCTCTACTGCCTTTCACCAGATTTTCTCCCTTGTTATGTGACATAACCCTGGGGGCTGTGTTTGAACAATTTAGAATTAGCAACACCTCAGAAAGACAGATATATATAATTAATAAATGAAAGCACCAGTCCTAATAAGTTTTTATTTATCTATAAAGTTAAAAAGTTAACATAGATCCTGGAATCAATTTCCCTTCTACAATTTAGGACTGACTTCAATCTAATCTTAGTGCATGGGTAAAAACAGTAAAGTTAAAAATATCTCAGCATGTTTAAAGAAAATTATTTGAATTTGTTAACTACTTTATACATTCATGGTAATGGGGGACATATGTAAAATTATGCTGTGTAAAATAATAGCAAAAACCTACCAACACAATCAGCAATGTCATAATTCCCGACGCCCAGTGTTGTTTTTCCATCTCCACAGGATTTACATGATGTCAATCCTTGCTCATCTCCATATGTTCCCACTGGACAGTACTCACAGTTCTGACTTGTACTGTTGTAAAAGGTTCCATTACTGCATTCAACTAAAAAAAAATTGTTATATTAATAATGAAGAACAAAATTATCAAATCTTATGGTCTTAGTAAGGATGACAGGTACACAACAATCTTTGCATAGAACAGACAAACTCCAAATTCTAATCAATTCATAAATATGTGCATCCAATTTCAACTCTTCCTCAGCAATTTTCAAAGCCTTTTCTTAAGTTTTCATTGATTGTTTATAAAGAACACAAGAGGTGCATTAGCCACAATGTTCATATGTACCATCATTCTTTTCTTTATAAAATTTCTAAATTTCTACATTTGCCCCTTGGTTTGAAATGTATGTCTAAAGTACGAAAGCCTAGAAGGCTCATTCGAGATTCAAATTTCGAAATACTAGATTCGAAATTCGAGATTCAAAAGTAGGCCAATCTCCATGCAAGGTCAAAGCTTCAAAATTGTTGGCAACGAAAGATAGGTCTTTCACAATTAATATACAATGACATGTGAAATCACTGGCATCAACTTTTCAAAAGTAATAGAAAGATTGGATTTTTTTTGAAAAGTAGGTCAAACTCAAAAGTCAAGGTCAAAGGGTAAAAATTGTTGGTACACAAGTGAAGGTCTTGGCTCAAGAAAAATACCTTTGAAAAATGAAATTTAAACACATTTTAAATTTTTTTGCAAAGTGAGCAATTTATCGAATTGCATTGCAACAGTCGACCAAATCTTTGAGTACAATGGCATAAATTCTTAACAGTCATAAGATCATAACTATAATTTTTTACCCTGTGACCTTGACCTACTTTTCTAAAAACTTAACCATGGTCTTACCTTTTAAATGAGAAGATTTAGGGCACTCACCTTTTACATTTATGTGGTAATACCTTTCTAAATACACTATGATTTTTGACCCTATGACCTTGGACCTACTTTTCAAAAATTGTTATTTTTCCTTATAAGTTTTGATAGAGAAGAGATAGGCCTTTTTATATTTGACACGTGTATTACATCTGACCAAGATATTTATGTGCATGCTATGATTTCTGACCCATTGATCTTAAACTCCATGTTTGATCTTATTTTAATAAAAATCAACTTTAGTGAAAATGTTTGGATGATATCTGATAGGGCATTCATATTTGTTACAATATGCCATAAACTAGAAAACTGACCAATCAGCAAGGGCCCCGCTGAAATATTTTGATTTTAGAATTAAATTAAATTATCATAAATCATTGTGTACAGTATTTTAACCAAAAATAAAGTATGAACATGATTTTAAATCCATATTTCAGAGAATGTGCATCATTCAAAATTGACCTTTCCTTCAAAACAAAGTTCATTGCAGACAGAGGCGGTACAGTTATTAATCTCAATGTGACAGATAAAGATAATGCTCAGGATTTTCTTCATGTGGAAGGTTAATTAATCCCAAAGAACAAATTGCACAGCCTTCCCATTTCACAATTAAGGTAACATTCTCAGCAATTATCTTTCTTTGCCCATTCATTCTTGTGCATAGATAAGGAATCTACCCCACCACCCCAGCTCCAAACCAGAAGACATAGAGAACCAAACTTAATTAGCATCAA